CGTGCCGATATTCGAAAATCACCGACTGGAACTATTTATTCGATATTATGGGTCGTGTTTGATTGATCTCGCCGTGATTTATTGACGCGAGGGATGGCCGAATTTCCCGGGCTCTCACAAAATATTGTTTAAATTTATATATCATATTTCGCTTTAGCCGGATTAATTTTATTTATTGGCAGGGCAGCCTGTGACGCGGCCGTTCTCCCCCGCACCGTGTTATAACTAAAAACACGCTGCCGTGTGCGTGCGACCCCGCGATAAATACAAAAGTGACCGGACGCGCGTCTAGTTTTTAACCTATAAAATTTATGGACGTTAATCTTCGCAAAAAGGCATTTCGACAAAATCATGTCCACGTTTCAATCTAAATCATTTTATTAATTTTAAAATTCTTTTCCTCTTTTCGATATTTTCAATAAAACATGTTTTGACGTGATTGTCGTGGATTGTTCGAAAATGATTATATAGATACGTGATGTTAAAATCTCCAAATTATAGTAAAAGTGAAGTTCTTAGTATTCTACAATTTCATGTAACCCGTCGCTGGACAGTTAAAGTTCAAATATGAGCATTTAAGAAATTTGGTGCATGTTACTAAAAAACTTTTAGAACAAAAGTTGTAGCAAATTTCATTCTTAACAATATTGCTCTCTTGCGCTTTTGCCCTTAGATGCGTCAATAGTGAGATAAATACAAAAATATGAAAGTTTAAGAAATTTCGTTGTTTGACCACTACTTAATGGTGCCATTTGAGAATTGGAGTATTTTACAAAAAAATTGTTAGAATGAAAATTGTAGCAAATTTCATTCTTAACAATATTGCTCTCTTGCGTTTTTGCTGTTAGATGCATCAATAGTGAGAAAAATATAAAAATATGAAAATTTAAGAAATTTCGTTGGTAATGGTATCACTCGGGAATTGAAGCATGTTACTGAGAAACTTTTAGAACAAAAGAAGTAGCAAATTTTATTCTTAACAATATTGCTCTCTTGCATTTTTGCTGTTAGATGCGTCAATAGTGAGAAAAATACAAAAATATGAAAATTTAAGAAATTTCGTTGTTTGACAAGTTCATAATGGTACCATTTGGGAATTGGAGCATGTTACTAAAAAACTATTACAACAAAAGATGTAGCAAATTTTATTCTTAACAATATTGCTCTCTTCCACTTTTGCTCTCAGATGCGTCAATAGTGAGAAAAATATAAAAATATGAAAATTTAAGAAATTTTGTTGCTTGACCAGTACCTAATGGTACCAAGTGGGAATTGGAGCATGTTACAAAAAAACTATTAGAACGAAAGTTGTAGCAAATTACATTCTTAACAATATTGCTCTCTTGCACTTTTGCTCTTATATGCGTCAATAATGAGAAAAATAAAAAAATACGAAAATTTAAGAAAATTCGTTGTTAATGGTATCACTTGGGAATCGGAGCATGTTACTAAAAAACTTTTACAAGGAAAGTTGTAGCAAATTTCATTCTTAACAATATTGTTCTCTTGCATTTTTGCTCTTAGATGCGTCAATAGTGAGATAAATACAAAAATATGCAAATTTAAGAAATTTCGTTGTTTGACATGTTCTTAATGGTGCCATTTGGGAATTGGAGTATTTTACAAAAAAATTGTTAGAATGAAAGTAGTAGCAAATTACATTCTTTACAATATTGTTCTTTTGCATTTTTGCTCTTAGATCCGTCAATAGTGAGATAAATACAAAAATATGAAAATTTAAGAAATTTCTTTGTTGACAAGTTGTTAATGGTATCACTCGGGAATTGGAGCATGTTACTAAAAAACTTTTAAAACGAAAGTTGTAGCAAATTTCATTCTTAACAATATTGTTCTCTTGCACTTTTGCTCTTAGATACGTCAATAGTGAGAAAAATACAAAAATATGGAAATTTAAGAAATTTCGTTGTTTGACAAGTTATTAACCCATTTAGTCCCACGATGCTTTATGTTAAAAAAAATCGATTTTTTTATAATTTTCCTTAAGTTAATATGGAATGAAAAGTATAAAATTGTACACAGCTGTTTAAAAGAAAAAATTGTTTTTGCGATATGAGATAAATGGTAAGATAAATGAACAACACACAAAAATGTTGGTTATCATTTATTAACTAAGTAATAAATTAGCCGTAAATAAATAATAATACTAATACAACATAATACTAACAAATGCCAACTAAAATTGTAGTATTGTATATTTTGAACAAAAGTGTCCAATAGAAAAGAATTGATGCAAATATAGTTTAAATAGCAAGATTTATGAAATATTTTGATATGCATAGCCTAACAACCTTATAGTGTTATCGCACAACCAGCTAGCACCTTGAAATCTGGTAATGTATGGCTGTAAAATAATTTTAAATACGCTGGCGCGTTTTTATTAGAGCATGTTACTAAAAAACTTTTAGAACAAAAGTTGTTGCAAATTTCATTCTTAAAAATATTGCTCTCTAGCATTTTTGCTGTTAGATGCGTCAATAGTGAGAAAAATACAAAAATATGAAAATTTAAGAAATTTCGTTATTTGACAAGTTCTTAATGGTACCATTTGGGAATTGGAGCACTTTACAAAAAGATTGTTAGAACGAAAGTTGTTGCAAATTACATTCTTAACAATATTGTTCTCTTGCAATTTTACTCTTAGATGCGTCAATAGTGAGAAAAATATAAAATATGAAAATTTTAGAAATTTCGTTATTTGACAAGTTCTTAATGATACCATTTAGGAATTGGAGCATTTTACAAAAAAACTGTTAGAATGAAATTTGTAGTAAATTTTATTCTTAACAATATTATTTTCTTGCACTTTTGCTGTTAGATGCGTCAATAGTGAGAAAATACAAAAATATGAAAATTTAAGAAATTTCGTTGTTTGACAAGTTGATAATGGTATATGACACGGGAATTGGAGCATTCTACAAAAGAATTGTTACAACGAAAGTTGTTGCAAATTACATTCTTAACAATATTGTTCTCTTGCAATTTTACTCTTAGATGCGTCAATAGTGAGAAAAATACAAAAATATGAAAATTTTAGAAATTTCGTTATTTGACAAGTTCTTAATGGTACCATTTAGGAATTGGAGCATTTTACAAAAAAACTGTTAGAATGAAAGTTGTAGTAAATTTTATTCTTAACAATATTGTTCTCTTGCATTTTTGCTGTTAGATGCGTCAATAGTGAGAAAATACAAAAATATGAAAATTTAAGAAATTTCGTTGTTTGACAAGTTGATAATAGTATATGACACAGGAATTGGAGCGTTCTACAAAAAAATTGTTACAACGAAAGTTGTTGCAAATTACATTCTTAACAATACTGTTCTCTTGCAATTTTACTCTTAGATGCGTCAATAGTGAGAAAAATACAAAAATATGAAAATTTAAGAAATTTCGTTATTTGACAAGTTCTTAATGGTACCATTTGGGAATTGGAGCATTTTACAAAAAAATTGTTAGAACGAAAGTTGTAGCAAATTTCATTCTTAACAATATTGTTCTCTTGCATTTTTGCTGTTAGATGCGTCAATAGTGAGAAAAATACAAAAATATGAAAATTTAAGAAATTTCGTTATTTGACAAGTTCTTAATGGTACCATTTGGGAATTGGAGCATTTTACAAAAAAATTGTTAGAACGAAAGTTGTAGCAAATTTCATTCTTAACAATATTGTTCTCTTGCATTTTTGCTGTTAGATGCGTCAATAGTGAGAAAAATACAAAAATATGAAAATTTAAGAAATTTCGTTATTTGACAAGTTCTTAATGGTACCATTTGGGAATTGGAGCATTTTACAAAAAAATTGTTAGAACGAAAGTTGTAGCAAATTTCATTCTTAACAATATTGTTCTCTTGCATTTTTGCTGTTAGATGCGTCAATAGTGAGAAAAATACAAAAATATGAAAATTTAAGAAATTTCGTTATTTGACAAGTTCTTAATGGTACCATTTGGGAATTGGAGCATTTTACAAAAAAATTGTTAGAACGAAAGTTGTAGCAAATTTCATTCTTAATAATAATGCTCTCTTGAATTTTTGCTGTTAGATGCGTCAATAGTGAGAAAAATACAAAATTATGAAAATTTTAGAAATTTCGTTGTTTTACAAGTTGTTAATGGTATCACTCGTGAATTGGAGCATGTGACTAAAAAACTTTTAGAACGAAAGTTGTGGCAAATTCCTAGAAGTTTCAAAAAGCAGCCTCAAACGACAAGATATATCCGGTTTCCTCGCTTAATAGCGTACGCTTGTTATTTAATCAATGACAATGTCTTTCATCTCTATACATTTTGACATTATCGATGGTATGGAATAATGTGTGAGACTTACGGGAGTTTAGAGAAGCTTTAATATATACCTTAAATCGAGACCGCAGAACTTTATATAGCATCCTGCACTTTTAATGAAGTCTCCAAAACCTTATTATTAATTATAGTACCCATTGGATTATCATATGACTCATTTACCCATGCTGAAGTAGTTAAGAAGGACGACGAGCGAATCCACATTGCCGAGCGTCGGGCGTAAGATAAATGAAAAAAAATTTGCCTCAATGTAATAATTCATAAAGATATCGCAATGATTTATGACTCATCTTAAAGTTTGAATCTCTATTTTAATATGATGTATAAAAAAAAATGAACTTGTTGTGAATTTCTAAAGAAATCCCGATTGGCATAATTAAGTTAATATTTTAACATAGGGAAATATTGTAGATGAACTAAAGGAAATCACAGAATTCATATATCTAAAAATTTATAGATATATATAAAATGATTGAGATATCTATACATACATATCTTTAACCTCGAGATTGAAGACAGATTTTTTACTATTTGCCGGTGGCGAATTCTATAATAGCACTTCAAGAGGCACAACATTTATGAAGGAATAAAGTAAAAGAATATTCATAACATGAAATCACGAAGCAGAAGAAGAAAATTCATAGAGTTGTTTCGAGATAAAAATAGTTTTTGACTTACCTCTTCCACTTCTCCCAACAAATCTTAAATCATTAAACTTAGCAACTTGATTCTTCATAATGGCAGTGCAATTTCTTAATTCGGCACAATAATTCTCGTCGTTTCCGGCTTTGACAGTAACCAAAGTGCCGTCACCGACATCTCCAAGAGCGACCACTTTAAAAGCCACAGGTAGGGTTTTGTTCGATCTCCAATGTGGTGGTAGTACTGTGCAAACGACGTGCGGACTTCCGGTCCTAACTAGTTCACCAGGATGTTCAGCCATCAGTCCGTCCAGCGTCCGTTCAGCCAACATTTCTGCAGTTAAATTTCCATAAGTTGTCCTTTCGTACTGTCCAGTCGTCGAAGAAACTTCACTCGCCAAATGCATTTTTTCTTAAACCGATTCAATTAAAGTCTTTAAAATGTTAACGATTTATTTATTTATTTATTTTTATTTTTTTGAAAGTTCAAAATTAGACTCTTTTTTTAGAAAAATATACACGCGTCATATACAGTAACGAGTTGGTGAATAAAAATCGCAGTCGGTGTGATTTCACCGGTCGCGGGGGGGTGGCGGTTACGGTGGTGGTGGTGGCCACCCTGAAAAAGTGCGCGCTAGTTACGCCGAAAAGCTCCCCGTTGCGGAAGAAACCAGTTTCGCATTTGCCGTTCGATGCAAAACAAATCGCACAAAATAACACTCAAAAAAAAATTTTTTTAAATCAATTTAAATCACTATCATCATCTAATCAACTTCGAATATATGTATTAGGGGTGATCAAACCCAACTGATTTCTGATTCATCCTAAATCCCTTTTTGTGTTACCAGGGGTGTTCTATGTTCGAAAAAAACACGATAAGGGGGATAAAATTTCTGAAATAAAAAGAAAATTTTTTTAAATTTCTTAATAAAATATATTTGTATATATATTTATATAAATTATATATA